GTGTGTGTGTGTGTGTGTGTGTGTGTGTTCTTTACCCCCAGGTGATATTTGGCAATATCTGGAGACATTTGTGGTTGTCATAAATGGGGGTGTGGTGGGGGTGCTGCTACTGGCATCAAGTGGTTAGAGGCTAGGGATGCAGCTAAACATGCCACAATGCCCAGACAGCCCCCCACGAAAAAGAACTGTCTGGTTCAAAATGTCATACTGCAGAAATTGAAAATGCCTTATGCAAACAATGAAGGGCACTTTCCTTTGCCTCTGTGCCCAGGCTTGAACTTATAGAAGCTCCCCAGGAACTATTCCTTGGTGAGGCCAGTTAAAAAATGGTCTTTGCCACAGGGGAGAAGTATGAGGGCTGAAATAGTGGCATCTCTGTATTAAACAAAAGCTGAAAATGAGTATTCATATTTTGTACATCAAATTATCTTTGTTAGTCTATGTTTTTAATACCCCTTCAGTTTTTTTTTCTCCTTTTAGAAAAGTACCTTTAAATATCCAGCTGACCCAAAATGATGTATAATTTTCCAGTTTAAGTTATACTGATAAAGGAGCCAAACTGACAGTCTCTCCTAAGCTGTGTAAGCAAAGTCTTAAGGAAAGGGTTATATGTTCCTTGGAGACCAAGCGATCATGGAAGCAGTAAGTAGTAAAGGACTCCAAAGATAAAAATACAGCTGCATAATCCAGCCACTCTTCCCAACAGTGGAATCTCCTTCAAGTATCAATGCTGGAGGTTCTTGGGTTATTCAGTTAATAAGAGTGGCACATACTTCAGTCACATGAAGAGTCTTGCAAACTACAAGCTAAAAATACTACAAAACTTCTTATAACAATGCCAAGTATCTATAATGATTTCTCAGTCTAAATGGTGCTGAACTGTGTATAAATGATAAAGGATTCAACCTACAATCCTTACACAAGAAATTTCTCACTATTTATCATTTGCTGAATAACAATGTACTTCCAGTCAGTAGTCAGCAGTTGGCAATCTAGTAGGTAAGACAAAACACATAATCACAAAAACTTAAACAGCAAAAGACAGTAGTAAATTCTGTCACTGTGATGAGGTTATACTGAAGAGGTTGACAAGATCGGTGTCTTAATGCAATCTCTTTTGAGATATAAAAGAGAGAAGCAAGCAGAGACACATGGGAACCTCATACCACCAAGAAAGCAGTGCTGGGAGCAGAGCGCCCGTCCTTTGGACCTGGGGTTCCTGCGCAGAGAAGCTCCCAGACCAAAGGAAGACTGATGACATGGACTTTCCTCCAGAGCCGATGGAGAAAGCGTTCCCCTGGAGCTGATGCCCTGAATTTGGACTTGCAGCCTACTGGACTATGAGAGAATAAAGTTCTCTTTGTTAAAACCATCCACTTGTATTTCTGTTGGAGCAGCACTAGATGACTGAGACAGAAGGTTAGTAAACTTTTTCTTTTTGTGCTAACATTTATAACTTGGTATATTAGTGACTGTACAAAGCCTCTAGACGAAAACAGAAATTTAAGGTTTTTGCAAATTCTTGGCAACTCTGGGCAGTTCAGGTTCTACCACTAATGTGCTCTGTCTACATTTTCATTTTATCTGATGGTTATTTCCTTTCCTAGAATTTCTAGTGTTGTGTTGTTCCTCTCAATTATGCTGCTATGTCCTCCTTTTCTATAGTCCTTCACCTTCCAAACAGCATAACCACCTACTCAAACAGAAAAAATGCAGCCTTGTCATTGTAAAACAAAACTTTTAACAAAAAGCAGTAATTGCGCATCTTGAACCTTTTGTGTGACTCAGTGTATAGGTTTCCTCTAGGAAATCATGGTAATCCAGGGAAGATTCTTTCAGGTTGGGTGGTCTCGCATTAATATTTTCCTTAGGTAGTTAGCCTAAAACAACTGCATTCAGTAATATTTAACGGTGCATCACCGTCACTCAGGCACTGAGACACAACTAGGGCATAATGGGTTTTATTTTCACTAGAAAGGCCGTCTAGTAACAACTCCCGGGGTCAATACCCTCAAATAGTCCACACGTGACCAGCTCTACTTCTTGGGCTCGGGGCATTATCGGAATTAGCCTTGGGCCCCAGAATCCCGTGGATACCTTCCCATGGCCCAGGGAGCGCTTAGCGGAAATCTCTGTGCGGACGAGGCGGGTAGCCTCGATCTCTCGCCGGCCCACTGACGACAAAACGCCTGTCAAGATTGAAGGCTGCACAGCTCAGCGCCGCCCAGAGCCCACCTCCAAGTGCGCCCCCCGACAGGAGGGTTCCAGGCGGCGCCTCGTACCCGAGTCCATCCAGTTCTCGCCGCTGCCCCAACTACCACGTTCCAGGGAGCCCAGGGAAGGCGGGAGGCGTTGCCGACCCTGCAGCCCCCAGCTGCAAGCCAAGGGAACCCGTCTCCGGGTCCGTGGCCGACCCACGGACAGGTCCACCACGGAGACAACCGCGGCGTCCACTCCTCCTGCGCTCCTTACCACCGTCCCCCAGGCACACGCCCCCGTCCAAGGCGGTTTCTCGGACCTCTCGCGAGAGGAGGTTGTCTGGCCGTACCACCTTCCTCTCAGCTGCTTTTCTCTCTCCGCCCCCAAAGTGATTGCGTGGTTTCCTCTGGAGGGTGGGAACCTTGGACGTGGCGGGGCCCGACCAGCTAGGGGGCGGGGCCTGAGGCGCTTGGCTCAGCCGCCCTTCTCTGCAGCTATAAAGCTCTCAACCGGCTCTCCATCTTCGCAGGTACACCGGCATGGGCCCAAGTTATGCTAGGTGCGGAGTGGCGGGTGGGGAGGGATGGGCCGGTGGGCGCCCCACCTGCGTGGGGGGCGGGCTTGGGGAGGTGCGCACGCGCGCTGCCCGGGTGGAGGGCGGTGGCTCTGGGGACGTTGCGCAGCCGGGGCGGGGGGGTGGCGTAATCTCCCAGCTTTTCTGTCTCCTTTCCTCCGCCTCAGTTTGGGGCGGGTGGGGAGAATGGCTTCAGAGGTGGAGTCGTCGCTGGAGGCAAGCTTCTCGTCCAGCGGCACAGGGTCGGGGACCTCACGGCTTCTGCCTCCAGCCCGCTCCCGCATCTTCAAGATCATCGTGATCGGCGACTCCAATGTGGGCAAGACGTGCCTGACGTATCGCTTTTGCGCTGGTCGCTTCCCCGACCGCACCGAGGCCACTATAGGAGTGGATTTCCGAGAACGAGCGGTGGATATTGATGGAGAGCGCATCAAGGTGAGCGGTTGGAAGATCGTCAGGGAGGAAGGACGCCCCGGGGTGGCAAGTATCCCAACCCCACCGTAGGTTAATCGTTGACCCTGTGTAAGTTGTGCGCTCCGTTTTTTCTCACGCTGATGTGGACGTTGGAGATAGGGATTGGAAAGACTTGTATATAGCAAACTTCTAAGGCGATGCTTCTCAAACTTTAATGTGCAGCCGATTTACCTAGGGATGTTGTTTAAAAAATTCAGATTTATCCAGCTCCTGGGTGATCATATGCAGCTGGCCCGTGGACCTCACGTTGAGCGGCAAGAGTGTAGGGGGTATCCACTGACTCATTGGCTGTCTTGTGCGCTGGGAGTCAATGAAGTCAGACCAAAGGAAAAACAGTGCGGTATTTCCAACATGAAAAATTCATTTAATAAATAATGTTATTTATTAAGAATTTGTTTGATTGAGCATTGCCCTAGGTACTGTGGAAGTACAGCCCCTTGCCTGTGAGGAAGTACTTAGGTATTCTCTTGCATGCAGTTTTGCTACAATAGTTTCTGTATGGCCTTGGTTTGTTTAGAAAAATTTCCCTGCGGAAACATTCTGTACAAGATAGTTCCTACTTGGGTTGTCAGAAGCGTGTCTCTTGGCTCCACCTCAGACTCCTCCCCCACTTCTTCCCTTTAAGTCGTTATTGGTGGTTGCTGAGACTGGGAACACCATATAACAGTATTGAGGGTAGTAGGTCCAAAGGCCGGGGCTGGAGTTGTGAGGGGCACATTGGAGAATGAGGATCAGTGACAGGGTCGTGATGGTGTAAACCTACACAGTTAATCATTCCAAGCTACTGCCAGCCCCTCAGCCACCTGCTAATACCAGCCCATAAAGCATGTCAGCCCTAGGAACTGGCCTGCCTTCCTTATTCTGCTTCTACGTTTTGCTTCAAATTACGGTGTTCATCTTTAGTTGGTGTACTATTCCACTTCTGCTCTCACATCCTTGAGGCAAGAACAATTTATTTTTTGGTTTTTTGACCCCTCTACCCCCACCAAAGAGTTTTATTGCTAATAACGATAAAGGAGAAATAAAAAACCAGTTGCAGTTGATTCCGACTCCTGGCGACCCTATGTATGTCAGAGTAGAACTGTGCTCCGTAGGGTTTTCAGTAACTGATTTTTTGGAAGTAGATCACCAGGCTTTTCTTCCAAGGTTCCTCTGGGCAGACTCAAGCCTCCAACCTTTCAGTTAGCAGCTAAGCATGTTAACCATTTGCACCACCCAGGGACTCTAAAGGAGAAATAAAATCAACCCTTCTGTCTTAGTCATCTAGTGTTGCTACAACAGAAATACCACAAGTGGGTGGCTTTCACAAAGAGAAATTTATTTCTTCACAGTAAAGTAGGCTGAAAGTCCAAATTCAGGGCATCAGCTCCAGGGGAAGGCTTTCTCTCTCTGTAGGCCTTCTCATCAATGTTCCCCTGGACTAGGAGCTTCTCTGTGCAGGGACCCCGGTCCAAAGGACGTGCTCTGCTCCTGGCACTGCTTTCTTGATGGTATGAGGTCCCCAACTCTCTGTTTGCTTCCCTTTCCTTTTATCTCTTGAGAGAAAAGGTGGTGTAGGCCACATCCCAGGGAAACTCCCTTTACATTGGATCAGGGATGTTACAATCCCACCCTAATCCTCTTTGACATAAAATTACAATCACAGAATGGAGGCCAACCACACAATTCTGGGAATCATGGCCCAGCCAAATTGATAGACACATTTTTGGGAGGACATAATTCAATCCATGACACCTTCTGTGGGCGCTTTTACCTGTTGAAAAATTATCCTATACAAGCTGCCAGTGGTAGTGCTTTGGGTGTATTGTATTAGGGAGTTAAAAATTTGTATACATTGAAGAGGAAAAAAATAGATAAGAAGAGGGGGGACGTTTTTTCACTAGAGTTAGGTTAGGCCAGAAGACCTGTGGAGGAAGGAAAAAAATGGGGAGTTCAGAGGTTTAGAGGTGGTTTAGATTGAGAAAAGTAGTTCTGAGAGAAAATGTGGTGGCTTTGGAGCCCAACTGACATTGGTTCAAATCTAAACCTATGAAAATGTAAGTACAGGTTACATGTCCTTCGTAGAGTGACCAACTTTGACTACGATTGTCCCTCTTTTAAAACTGAGGTTTCACATCCCTGGAACCCCCTCAGTCTTGGGCAAACCGAGACGGTTTGTCACGCTAGTACTTAGACAAGTCCCCCATCTTTCAGTCTTTTTTCTCTTCCGAAAAATGAGGATAATGATACCTTATCAGGCTGGTGTGAGGATTAGATGAGAACATATCTGAAACACCTGGTTCAGAGTTGGTACCATTGAAAAGTTATTTGCCTTCCCTGGTGACTAAAACGTTATTATTCCCCCCATTGGCACCATCAGGAGGGCATATGCAGACAGCAGAAGGAGAAAGAAATTCCAAAATAAATGGGAGCAGGAAATGCCAAAAAATGATAGAGGGGAAAGGAGTTGGAATTTACAGTCCCTCTACCTCTTCTTAGGTTGCCATTTATACATAAAGGTCACAGATGAGTCTGGTGCAAATTGGATAGTGCAAACGGTTAATGTGCTTGGCTGCTAACCAAAAGACTGGAGGTTCAAATCCACCCCAGAAGAAAGACCTGGTGGTCTACTTCCAAAACATCAGCCATTGAAACCCTATTGAACACTATTCTACTCTGACATACATGGGTCACCATGAGTCAGAATTGACTCCATAGTAACTTTTGTTTTCTTTTTAATATTTGAAAAAGATAAAACACGTCTATTGTATAAAATTGAATACTTAATTACTGGAGTGAGTGCTGGCAGTGATAAGTAAATCAGAACCACAGGTGTGATGGATTTGGCAGTACAGAGTTCATTCTTCTGGATGAGAGGAGTAAGGAGAAAACATTTTTCTGGGATTACTGCATTTTTCACAAATAACTCTTGCTCTATGTCAGAACTGTTTTTACTTAATCATTTCCACACATTATATGTGTGGGCATGCTATTTGTGAAAAAATATGGTATTCCCCCCGAGCTTTAGCCTCACGTGTTATTTGGCTATGTTGATAGGGACCTGGCCTCTGAGATTCTTTGTCTTCTTTCTGAGGCCCTAGCCATTGACTTGAGTCTCCAACTTGATGAGAGAGATTTTTTTTGTGTGTTCTTGTTTTTGAAACTGAAAAGTGATATACCCAAACACCAAACCCACTGCCGTCGAGTCGATTCCAACTCATGGTGACCCCATAGGGTTTCCAGAAGCAGACTACCACATCTTTTTCCTACAGAGCCACTGGGCAAATGTTTTAGAAGTAGATCTCCAGATCGTTCTTCCTAGTCTGTCTTAGTCTGGAAGCTTCACTGAAACCTGTTTACCATGGGTGACACTGTTGTATTTGAAATACCAGTGGCATAGCTTCTAGCAACACAAGAGCCACCACAGCACAACAGACTAACAGATGAGTGGTGGTTCATTTTGTATGCACGCTAAAATGTTTGAAGTATTGTAGGATGATAAATATAATAGCAATTGAGGATGAATTGAGAGAGACTCAGTCTACCCCTCAACCAGTTTTTCTCTCTCTGTGTTCTCCCCTTATCAGTCCCTTGCCTTCAGCTATCACTTCTGTGAAGATAACTTCCAAATTTTGGGTCCATACTTTTCTCCTCAGCTGTCATTCTGTATTTCCTTCTGTCTTCTGAACCGGCTATTTGGATAATCCCTTCTTTGCCTCCAGTGTCTGAAGTGAGTTCTTCTTTCTTGGCAAATCTGTCTCCTATATTCCTTCTCTGCACCATCTATGTTGTCATCCCTTTTCATCCTTGTGGCCTCCCCCCTTCCCTTTGCGCCCTAAATCCAGTCACTTTTCTATCTCCACAATTTTTCTCACCCATCCTCTCTTCAAAACCCTAGTTCAGGTGCTTCTCTAAACCCTCTCTCAAACTATTGCAGCAGCTTAACTTGTCTCCCACCTACATTCTTCTTCAGTTAAACTATTTTGTACATAGTTCCTAAAATGCCAGGTTAATGTTGCACTTTAGAGAGTTAGTCTCCCCTGCTTCACACACCCTTGGTAGTTCTCCGTCATATTACAGATTAAAGTTCCAACTTGTTAAATTAACAGAGGCCTTCATCTGGATCGGAGCCCTGGTGGCACAGTGGTTAAGAGCTTGGCTTCTAACCAAAAGGTCAGCTGTTCGAATCCACCAGCTGCTCCTTGGAAACCCTGTGGGGCAGTTCTACTCTGTCCCATAGGGTCGCTATAAGTTAGAATCAACTTGACGGCAGTAGGTTTGGTTTGGGTTGGTTTCATCTGGATCTAGACTGCTTTTCTTATTTTATTTCCCATTAATTTCCTTCAAGTGCCCTATGTTCCAGCCAACTATTTGCTGATCCCACTGTTTCCCCCTTGCTTTTCCAACTCTTTGCCTGGGATAGCCCCCTTTCTCGTATTTCTCCACTCAGTGTATCTGCTTATTCAATTTAGTACATCTCTATCAAGAATTTTCTCTTTCGTGAATGAAGAAAACTAAAGACACAAGGGAAAGATTAGTCCAAAGGACTAATGGACCACAACTACCACGGCCTCCACCAGACTGAGTGCAGTACAACTAGATGGTGCCCGTCTACCACCACTGACTGCTCTGTCAGGGATCACAGTAGGGGGTTCTGGACAGCTGGAGAAAAATGTAGAACAAAATTCTAACTCACATAAAAAGACCACACTTACTGGCCTGACAGAGACTGGAGAAACCCTGAGAGTATGGCCCTCGGACACCCTTTTAGCTCGTAATGAAGTCACTCCTAAGGTTCACCCTTCAGCCAAAGATTAGACCGGCCCATAAAACAAAATGAGACTAAAGGGGCACACCTCCCAGGGGCAAGGACTAGAAGGCAGGAGGGCACAGGAAAGCTGGTAATAGGGAACCCTAGGTCTAGAAGGGAGAGTGTTGACATGTCGTGGGGTTGTTAACTAACATCATAAAACAATATGTGT